GAAAAAATTCTTTTTTTAAAGAAAGAAACTTAATTTTATTTGTCCTTAATTAGCTATATTTTAAATTTTTTTCTCAAATGATTTCAATTTCTTCACAATCCATATACTTATTATAAAGAGGAAGGATAATTTCTTAAATTTGAACTTTTTGTCAAAACAAAAGGTCAAAACAGAAACTTTGTTTAGTTTTTGTAATTTACTTTTGAAAGTTAATTCTTAGTTAGTTAACTACTTATGCTGTCTTACATCTGCATTTTAATTAGCATTCACTTGAATTATTAATTTTCAAACTATACACTGTACTTTTACATTTGTTTTTTTTTTGTTATAAATAATTTTTAAAGGATTTTCCAATTTTTTTGTAGGATCGATATCTAGAACTCCATTAGAACCCTTTATTACTTGAGTGATACGTATACTTGCATTAATTTTAACGAGGATTTGACAGTATAAGAAGATTTTTAAGAGATAAACTACTTTCATAAAAGGTACTTTTTTGGGATTATATTACATATTTATTATATATATGTCATGTGTAATTTTGTAATATTTAAAAATATTTGCAAAATTTACACACTAAATCCGCCTGCATCACATGCCCTGTCTCCACAATGGAGCTTTGCCATGGAATAATGATATGGATGATCCAGTATGGGTTTTGGACACTGAATGGGTTCAGAAACATCCCTCATGTCATGCATATCCTTCCTCATTTGTTCTCTCAGCTCATTAATTTATTGCATCACAATTTTTTTTGGTATGATCTATTATTCTTTATGAGCTTTCATCAGACTGAAAAGACTTTTTTTAATTTTTTGCATGGATTCCATGGTCACCATAACTTTCAAGTTGTTGAATCGTTTTGATATATATGGCCTTGTATTGTTCGTAAGTGCATACAACCATATAAGAAAATTGTATTGTAGATAAAGAATGAGAGAGATATGGATGAAAGCCTTGAGATGGAACATTAGGAAATGAATTAATTTGTATTCTTCAGTAAGTTGAAAGATTGCGGCTCTTTATCAATCCCCTAGGTTATAATCATTGAAAGGGAAGGAGAACGAGAAATAAAGAGATATAGAGAGAAAGAGATCTTAGGACCCCCTCTTCTCCTTTTATTTTTCACTTTTCTATACAAGGAAGAAGGTTAATAAAATAATTGATGTAGTGCATCTTGTCATGTATAATGCCCTCCTCTAATGATTTGATGAAAAGATTATGAAATAAGCATTATATCTTATCGGTACGATGCACATCTCTGATGTCAGGGTGAAAAGATCAAGTCTCAAGTGTCAAAAGGTATCTTAAATAAGGGCTTGACAGATGCCTATATTAGTAATGTTTGCCTCCTCTGATAGCTTTTCTCATACATGTTGGTTAAACTATCCATTAGAGAAGGATGAGTCTAATCAAATTGACAAGTTGTGTGTCTTTGTGTGCATGTGTGTGTGTGCAAGCGCCAATATGAACCCTTGGACAGTTATCCACTCCCAAGAATTGATGCACAGTCGAGCCTTTATCCCACTACCATTAAATCATATGCATCCAACCGTCGTGGAGAAGATAATAATATTTATTATCAAAGGCCTATACTGTTATAATGTAATGCCCTTTGGGCTTAAGAATGATATTTGAATATAGCTAACATATAAAGATATTATCTCAAGTTGAAGTTGCTTCATCTCCATTGTTAGTTGTTAATCTTTAGTGATCATCTAAGCTATATATGTCAAGGATTTCTTATTTATTGTTTTTGCAACAACATTAGCCTTACCAAGATGATTTTGATTCTATAAGTCGTAGTCCCTCATCTACCCAAGATGTCACCTCCATCATATTTTCGTCTTATTTTGAGTGAAAATATACTTCAAGTTCTTGTAATTAATTATAAACTCATAACTAAAATTAAATAAAATAACTAATAATATCTCTAGATCTTCACCACAAAAATAATGTCAAATAGCTTTTATTCAATAGTATGGTAATTTTTTTCATATACACTATGTTGTCTAGATGCATAAGCTACAACTCTATCATGCTACAATAAAATGTTTCTTAATTCATGATATAACCTCACTACAAATATGAAATTTATCTATGCCAAGTGGAATGCTAAAAATGTATGCTAAAATATGTTGAGCTTTTGAAAAAATCTGCTTGCATGCATCAAATCATTTAAATTTAAGACTTCTAGGTCAGCCTAACTAGAGATACAACAATACTATGAAAAGCTTATAACAAATCTTCTATAGAAGCTAGCAAAATTGAAAAGCAACTATGAATTTCTATGATAGTATTCGGCCTCAGCCAATCAATTATTACCTCGATCTTGATAGGCATTAAAAATGACACAATTAAAAACCCAGGATACGACAATCCTTTTTTCTACATATAATAAATAATGAGTATATAATTACTCATTTATCATATTTTATGTCAAATATATATTATTATATATTTTATCTAATTGAGTTCACAATTGTGTACATCTTATTATAATGCACAATAGAAAAATAATTATATAGTCTCTCCTTCCACATGTTGTACTACCACTAAAAAATTACTCATAATATTTTATTGAAATTTTAATTTTATATATGTATATATATCAATGAGAAGAAACTAATAAACCCTTTTTAGGGCAGGAAATTTATTATGTATAGATTTTTTTTGTAAATATTTTTTTTCTATTTTACTTAATATTGAAAAGAAAATATAGAATGGTGGAAAAAAAAATTATTTATTTTTTTTACAATTTAATTAAAAAAGAAATTTTAGGGTGAACAACCACTCACCCTAACTCTTCTAAAATTGCTTCTAATGAAGATATATACTTAGTTAATTATCATATAATAATTATTCAATTGAGGAAGTTCTATAGTTGTTTATAATGTGACTTATTTTCCAAAAATCAAAAGCTATAAAATTTTTAAGGTTAAGTGAAAAAAATCATAAATGAATATTTATTTAAAAGTGATTAATAAAATGGCTAAGGAAAAATGTAAACAAACATAATTAAATAAATTAAATCCTTGGATAACTTTCTTTTTTATTTCACTTATAATCTACTTCGAGTTAATTATTGGTCGGGCAATCGGACTTCCTTTCAAAAACCATCCCAGTCGTAGTTATTCTCCCCATGACTATGGCCTTTCGAAGAAATGGGATAACTGTATATAAATCACATGAAATATTGATATTTACTAATTAATCATGTAAGTGAATTTTTTTATATAATTACCAACCTATCTATTCTCATGGGCCGCGATCAAACTTCTGAGAATTTATGGGTTGGGGTTTTACTATGAATTTCGATATTTGAGTGAAGAATTTGAAAATTATTGATTTGTAAAAAGCAAGTTTCAGGTTGTCCATATGTAATTGTCCCAATGGAATAATTAACCATTATCTTTCATCTACGATCAAACTATTGAAAATTCGGAAAAAAAATTAAAAATATGGAGCAAATTGCAAAAATAGTCCCTTGGCTACTTGCATGGAGCCATTCAGTCTCATATTCTATAGAATTGTCAAATTTATCCCTCTTTAAATTGCGGCTCTAACAATCTTAGGATTTATTTTTTCCGAATTTGAAAACCCCAAAGATCGCTTTGTCACTTCTATAAACTCTGAAACTAAAATGAGCTCATTTAATTAATTTGAGACTATTTCAGCACTTTATTCTTTCTAAATCATATAATTAATAAATATCGCCCATCATTTTTTATCTTCAAGGAATAAATCTTTTTTTACGGATAAAAAATCTGTGTATCTGATGTATTTCACAAGTGAAATTGATCATTCAAGCTCTTAATGTTTGTGTGAAGGCTATTTTTGATTCGAGAGAGTAAAAAATTAGGCTTATAACCAGGCGTGTGGCCTCAGTTTGCACGAAGCAGCATCCTAATGCAAATTGCAACTACTTGAACGTCATCTCTGAAAGCTAGAAGGAATATTTACATACATGGCACTCAATTCTTATTTACTTGCATAACATCTATAATTCAATTTTTACAAAACATGCACCTTACCTGTACAAGAAAAAAAGGATTTTTCACTTTTAAAATTTAAAATGATGGTATATTTTATGTTGAACGGTAGATTTGGGTGGCATAAAAATAAAAAAGGTAAAATTTGTGTTACATGTGTAAATATATGACTTTGGAGGTACGTATGTAAATCTTCTAAACTAACAACCAGCATCAAATGCTTAGCATAAAATAAATGATGATAAAACCATATAAACAAAAGAAAGCTCTCAACAATGACACTTCTAATTCACCTCTCAAGTATCGAATTCATCAACAAAGTCAAATAAACTTATATCATACGGCATTTGCACAGAAATTAGGCCCATAAGGACTGGCCAGCTCCGTACACGCCAACGGCTCCACATCCGACGCAGAACCACTCACATCCGCACACTTCCATGGCACTTCCCGCCCCCCAACAATCTCAAACTTAATATCATAAAGACAAATCCTGGTAAAGGATGAGCTCTTAAGCCCATGTATCAAGCCAGGCATCTGTACATTATCTCCCCAAATTCCCTTCAACGTCAATCCATCCACCACTGGAACAGCCTTCGGATCAAACTTCTCGTCAGGATGGTCGCCTACATCACCAGCAATTTTAATCCCCATTCGAACCACATGCATGTTAACATTTGTAACCGTTATGTTTCTGATGTAGCCGCCTCTTCCTTCATTAGTCTTTATGTGGATTCCAATGCCCGTGTTGTCGAGGGTTATATGCTCGATGCTGACGTTCTCAACCCCGCCGGATGTTTCACTCCCCACTGCGACTCCGGCAAATGGAGAAGAGCCGGTTAGTCGTCGAATAGTGATGCCGGAGCTGGGGCGGCCATAGGCAATTCCGTACTCATCCCATCCGCTCTTTACCGCTACGAGATCATCTCCGGTTGAGATGTAGTTGTCTTCAATGCATATATTGGAGCTGGAATCTGGATTTGACTATAGTTCATAAGTAAAAGATAAAGATCTCTACTAATGGCTTAAGAATAGTACCTGGATCAATTCCATCAGTGTTTGGAGAGTCACGAGGAGCCAATATGGTTACATTATTTATCACCACGTTGCTGCAATAGTGAAAGACGTTATAAGATGCTATGTATGGACGTGGAAATTAATAAATGTTTACTTGGCTTCAGTGTTAAAGCAGAATGGGAAGAATTTGATGAAGGCAAGAGAATGAACAGCTGCAGTCATTTATCAAGGTTGGAGATGCAAGCCAAATGGCTAACAATGACAAATATTAAAATCTGTTGATACAAGGTCAGTGTTGCGTTGAACAACTACCCTCGAAACTATATATATATAAATATATAGTACCTGAAAGATAATGATTATATGAAAGTGAATCATATTTCACTAAATGCTCCAAATGAAATAGAAAAGCAAACGGGATCCTCAGGATCAAATTATAAATACAAAAAAACAAAAAACCTAAGAAAATGACTTCATTGTCTCTCTTTACTTTATCACAGACATTGCTCATCGAGTCCTACGGCTTTGTTTAAATAGCTTTCTTATTGCTTTTATGATAGAAAAAGCAACCAACAAAAATAAAAATTAAATGGGATGAAAAAATGAGTGAAATTTTTATTTTTTTACCTTAAAAATATGATCATAAAAATTGCTTTTGAGGAGTTAAACATTATAATTGAGAAGATAGCTTAAAAGAAAACTTAAAAAATAGACAAGTATAAATTAAAGAAGTGGAAAATAACATGTTAGAAATACCTGCATGGTGTGCATTTTATAACCAAGTTTAAAAAGCAATAAAGCAATCAATTTAACCACCTGCAATAAACTGGGTGCATGTTCCAGAAAGGTGAATTCTGCAAGACCACATTAGAGATAATGATCTCAGAAGTGTGCATGAATTCCAAGAGATGCGGTCTGGTGAACGGGAGTGTTCCTTGTCTCCACATATTCCACCATACATCACCTTGTCCATCTATTGTCCCATTTTCACCTGTAGCAGAAGTCCAACAGAACTATGTGTTTCATCAAATTGAATGAATGATGTCACCAAGAAAAATCATAAGCAAATTTATTGAAAAAAAAAAGTGACATTATCGTGAATGAGGTGTTGTAATTAATCTATCGTCTATACACAAATTAGGGGGTGTTTGGTACGCTATTTTAACAGGGATTTACGTTAATCAAAAAAAAAAAAAAAAGTTAAATCCTGCCGTCTCATGAATTTGACATGAATCCTAGATTTATTAAATCCGGTTATTGGGTATTAATGGATTTAAGTGAAAAAGAAAATCGACCTGCGGGTTGTTGCTTCCCTTGAAGCCAAACACTTCAAAAAAGAGATTTAGCTAGATTTAACCTTCATCGAACCAAACTCTTTTCTGGATTTAACACTTTCAGATTTGATAAATCCGTATTTACAAAAGTTACTAAATACTATGTAAGTTGAAGCCAGGGTGTAACAACACCACCTTAGGGTCGACATGTAAGAGCTTGAAGGTGATTGGGATTAAGATGAAGTGTTTATTAGGTAAACACTGAATGAGAGTCTTGATTTTTAAACTCATCTTCATAAAGGAGAGTAATTAGTTCTACTTATGAAACTTGAAAAGCACGTTCTATTTCGCCCTTCAGAGAAAATATTAGAATAATAACATGAAGTAAAAAAGAAGATGAAATATAGTATTGCTTTTGCTCATAATAATAAGGATGATGATGGTGACAGTGCAATGGTAAAAATAAAATTAAGATTTGGGCAGTTGAAGATGTTTGAAGAAGCAGCCGTAAAACTGCTGCAGAAGTGGTTGATCAAAAACTTGAGATGGCTATTACAATTTTTCTTTTTTTGAAAATGTCCGACCGCAACTTTCCAGAAGTTACTACACTTAGTCAGGTTCGGTTGCAAACGCAGCTTTTTAAAAGAACAGATAAAACAAAATTTAACAAACAGGAAAAACTACAGTGTGACACCGCGCTGAAGTCTCATACACACCATAAATATATAGCTAAATAAATGCGGCACTAAGATTGCAAAAAAAAGAAAATTCAAGTAAAATAAATAAATTTCACAATGAAACAAGTTTGGAACTAAGCTCAATCAATTTTGAACACTCTGTCAAAACAAACAGTTGTTAAAAAAATTGATCTCAAAATGGATGAGGCTAAAGATAATGATAATTGTTATGTGGCGTAATATTCACGATGGTAGAGCGATAATTTAACGTTATAGCATTGTACGAAAATCCAACATACAAAAAAAATGATAAGTATTAGGAGAAGACTCCACAATCGTTTACATGAAAAAACTACAACAACAACAACAAAGCCTTAATCCCACTACGTGGGGTCGGCTACATGAATCCTTTTTTCTCCATTGCGTCCTATTTAGTGTCATATTTTCATTTAGTTCTAGTAAATTAAGATCATTTTTAATACAATAAGCCCAAGTCTTCCTAGGTCTACCTCAGCCTTTCCTAACATAAGTCGAATCTAGAAAATTGACTCTCCTAATTGGATCATCAGATGGTCGACGTTTAATGTGACTAAGTGTTGCAGGTCTCACCATCATCTTATAAAATTTTCGACGTTTAATGTGGCTCTCCTAATTGGATCATCAAGAACATGGACTCTCCTAACATAATTAGAGCATTGTAGGTCTCACCATCGTCTTATAAAATTTTGCTTTCAGTCTAAGTGGCACTTTTCTATCTCACAAAAAGCCTAAAGAATTCCTCCTCTTCAACCAACCACCATGAATTCTACTATTAACATCCACATCTATTTCACCATCGCTTTAAGCAACAAACCCGAGATATCTAAAAAGTTCACACATTTTAATAATTTGATCACCCAAAGTTACAATTCTGTCACTAGAGCTACTACTACTAAAATTACATTCCATGTATTCAGTTTTAGTTCTACTCAAATGAAGGCCTTTAAACTCCAATATAGACCTCCATAATTAAATTTTATCCCGGGCTTTTTCTCTCATCTTATCCATGAGAAGGATATCATCATCCCGCAATCGAGTATGAAGGATTACAACACTACACTAAGTATGACACTTGTCTGTACACAATACACTGATCACTTCATGAGTATGAAGAAAGCCATAATACACCGATCACTTCATGACTATGAAGAATGTAGTTTTATTTTACGTGAAATAACCTGAAAAGGAAAAAACAATAAGGCTTAGCCCACACAAAGTATTCCACTGTAAATATGAAATTTCAAAGATACGCCCTTATCTCACAACTGGGAATGAAGGATTACAGCGTTACACCAAATACAATACTTCTCCGTGCATAATGCAGAGAGAACTTAAAGAGCTTGAATAAAGTCATCGTATTCTGAGTACAAGAGTTGAAAGTATTTGTTGCTAGAAATTATCATTGGATATTCAATACGATGTTATTCGCTACTCTACACAAAATACTTTGTAACTCCATATTTAGAATATTTTTTCGCACCATATTCAGGGATACATGGTTACACAATAGAGTTCGTCGACGACGATGAGCAAAAGGGCAGCCAACAGTGGTCAATGGCAGACGGGCAATGATCGAGATAGTTGGCGACAACAAGGGGTGGAAGTTATTGTAGTGTCTTCAATCCAAAAAAAAAAAACTTATATTTGACTCCTCAAGTGATGAGATGGGGTTTATTTATACACTCCAGTAGCGGGCATTAACCACCAGATCAAATGACACGTGTAAGTTCTTATATGCGATTTTTGATGACTCGAGGGGTTAATGACCTCAAACCTTCTACTCCTCTCTGATTAGGGCCAAACTTATCGCATGTGGAGACACTTCAAGATAGAGATACAATATCTCATCTTCTACCTACTAAAATTTAATGATTCGAACACCCCTCAGTATTGTGATGAATGGGAGATATTTCTACCCTATCAAACAAAAACCTCGTGCTGCAGGTCGTTTCATGGGGCAAGGCTTAAATTGGTGTAATAAGATTTAGGAAGGGACCTCCGATTGCATTATCTCCAGTGTGTGGGAAGTCCAAAGTCTGTAAGAGCGGGAGAAGAGTTTCATGAGGGATTGTGTGATGAGTTGTGAGAGAAACTTCTCATGTAATTGTATATATGTGCTACTCGGTTAAATCTTGTGGAGAATGAAGAAAGTATGGTAATAGCATTTCAAAGGGTGTATGGTACGACTGCTGACCAGACTGCTGAAACTGCTGATG